GGGAGCAGACAGCGCTCTGCTGGAACTGGTGGCAGACAACGCCCTGCTGGAACAGGAATAGGGAGCAGACAGCGCTCTGCTGGAACAGGAATAGGGAGCAGATAGCGCCCTGCCGGAACTGGTGGCAGACAGCGCTTTGCCTGAACAAGAACGGGGGCAGACGGTGCTTTGCAGGAACACAGGGAGGCTGAGGCTTGAGCTGGGTTGAGGCCTGGCATCGAAGGCCCTGACTGAGTCTCCTCCTACCTCGAGTGCCAGAGAAAAAGGCAAGACGAGTCCCTTCCCAGGGAGAAGGCTTGTTGAAACAATTATAAAAATCTGCTGGGTCCATTGCTGGTCAGTTCATTCTGTCACAGGTGTGGAAAATCAGGAACTGGACCCAAGTGCAGAATGAAACAATAAAAATATTTATTTAAACAAAAACTTACTTTCTTGAAAAGACGAAATGTAATAAAGTTAGCCACGAGGAATCACTGGGAGCACAAGGAAAACTAACATCTGACATAACTAGAAACAACACCGACAAATGAAAAGGAACTGACACAGAGGGGAAGAAACACAGAGACTAAATAAACATAGGTTAATCAGACACAGGTGAGACTAACAAGACACAGGTGAGAACAATCAGGGCAAACAACATGGAGGGAAACACACAGAGGCAGGAATACAAGAAACACTGAGGACAACTACAAAACTAAATCATGAAACACTAAAGACACACAGAACTCAAGAATGAAACAAAACACACTAGAACATAAAGAAACACAAGGATACAAAGTTACAAAATAACACATGAAACACTAACCTAGAAAACACACAAGGGAAACAACACCATCAGGGAAGAATGAAAACTAAAAACAACAAGAAAATTTAAACTCTGAAAATAAGAAACCAAATCATGACAAAGATGTTCTTATTTTTGAAGATTTGGCCACTTACCTACAAAGCATCTGCAGCTCAGTGAATGTCCCAACAGGTCTCAAACAGCCTTCATATGTATTCCCTTTGGCCGAGTACAGTATGTCATTCAGAGATTTTTTAACAGAGGTTCTTCCACTTCCATCGCATTACGGTGTCATTTCTCATAAATGTATCTTAGTCTGTATTTCTTTGCACTCACATGGGTACAGCTAAAACTGCAAAACCTACAACTGCAAACAGAGAAGGATGCAGTCAACAACTTGTAACAAAGTCTATTTTTTACGTCTTGTGATATGATATACCAAATGAATTATACCGTGACACTGTCTTTATTTCTAAACCGATTGAACGTTTTCTGTTTCTATTAAACTGTCCCCTGTGACTGTAGCTGAATCAGTAATTTTGATACTTTAGAAATGTTTACTTTATCATATCGGTTGCAGAATTGTGTCCTAAGCACAACTATAATCATACCATCCAGATTTAGAGCGGACATTTTTCATCGATTATATATCATAATACCTCATTCAGTAGACATTGTTGTCACTATTTTTAAGGGAAAGCTGGAATTAATGTCTTGACAGCTCTTTGGTCAATAACAAGATCTATAGTGAGAGATGCAGACTGAAGAGCTGAAATGTAATGTGACTGCTTACTGTCAAGATTCATTTTACTTGAAAGAGAACTCTACTGATTTAGCATTGCACTTTATTAACACTGTGGAACAACCTTGTCTTTATTTACCTGGTGGTGCATGTTGTTTAAAACAGTCTTAATGAACCAAGAAGCCAGAGCTCATTTGTATCACATACTTTCATTTAGCCACTCCGAGCTTTACTAGCAGAGTAGAACAAAACTTTTTCAACATAAAGTCTGACAAAATCATATTTTCTATTGGCACATTCATTCCTTGTGTTGGATCTTATGGACCTATATTTAAGCCAAACCTCGGCTGTGATTGCCCCCACGGCTAAATCCCTGCAGTCCAGGGGGCTATGATATTTTGCTTTTGACTCACAATGTCAGGACTGTAACTTGACTGGTGCAAAAGTGCATGTGGCAAGAATTGATTGTTATATCACTAACTGTTCCAACAGCATCAGAGTTCACAAGTTTATAACCACTGCTAAATATTAGCAGTTATGCATTCACATGATTTGTTTTTCCTTGTCTCTTGGGACCCTTGGCAATGAACCTTGTGCGAATATTGTTGATTGATTGAAGATTGCTGCACATGACTCAGCTGCCTAGTGATAATGAAATTGACTTAGTCACTGTTAAGGTTTTTTTATGGCTTCCCCCAGATATCTCTAACTTTTATGGAGAAGGGATATTTTGAGATTTGGCTGCTCCAGAGTCCAGCTGGAGACTAAAGGGCCAAGAGTTTATGCAGTCAGGCCCAGAGGCCCTGCCTGAGATTTTTCTTTTCCTGAACAGACTTTTATTTATTTACTCTAAACTGTATTAGTATTGGGTCCTCCATAGATAAAGATATTTTATTTTAATGATCAGTGGGGATGTTGGCGTGCCATGCTAACTAGCTTTCACATTGTTAGGTTCGAGTTGTGTCTGCTGTATAAATCCAATGAAGAAATCGTGAAACAGACTGGAGATTATAACACCATTAAATCGGCCGAGGTCAGACAACTTCATCAAACAAGCATGCTTACAAATCACTTGACTGACAAAGTGCTGACAAAGTAACAGTGTTCACAGTGCTGCTTATATTCTGTTAAAAAGGTGCAACCCACAAATTCCTTTCTATTTGGGTGCATCACCATAAAACAATAAAGATGACATGACACTGATTTGTATATGTATCAGATGTAGACTCTCTGTCTAGCAAACAGTTTGCTGACAACATATAGTTGGCTCCTCTCCATATATAGATCTGCTTCTACTTCGGTGCTTCACCCATATAAGGTTACAGCTTCAGACACCTAAAGGTAGGAGTGTTAACAAGTGGTAGGTAGACTTGAATAATACATTTCACGAAGTTACCAAGATGAATGAATTTCATGAAAATTTGTACTAACACACATCCAGAGTGAAACACAATCTTAACAGTATGTTCTCTCCTCGTGATTTATGTTGGGTAGGTGCAGGATCCTCGAGTAACTGGTACATAATCAACACTGTGTGGGCTTGTTGAACAAAGGAACCAGCCTAAAAAATAAAAGTGATCGCTCTATGACCTGCAAAAGCAAACCTGACGATAATCAAAAAGAGTTTATTCATAATGTGTCATTTTTTCATGTCTGTTACTGCTGCCACCATGGTCTTTGTCAGATGAGGACATTAACATCACACTGCTAAACATCCTTTGTTTACATTTCTCATGGAAACGTTTCACGGTAAATTGCACATAAGACATGTAGATTAAAGAAGGATAAGAATACACTACCTCAACATGTACAGGCCAGGATGGGCAAAGAGATAAGAAGTATGGCTTTGTCCACAGGCGGCAGCAAGATCAACACTTCTCCTTTTATATTTCAAAGTAAAGACAATTTTTGTATCTGAGGAGGCAACAATAAAGATGAATTATTCTGGCCTTTACTCATCTCTTTGAGCTTATATAGTACCTCCTGTTCCCCAGATGTAATGCAGAAGGTCGTCTAAAATTGGTCAGTGTTTTTTTCTTTGTCATGGCTGACTCGACTCAACTTGACTCTCTTGCAGTCTACCGTGAAGGCTCATTATCACGGCATTGGTGCAGCCTGTCCCACATTCCTTTTTCTGTGATTTTCCCTTGGTGATGTTAGCCACTGCCTCCACTATGCAGATACAAAGCTTTAATAATTTAGTTGATCATTAGCAAATGCTATTATGTACCTAGATCACAGAGAAATAAATCTTATAAAAGCTCACATGATATGTTCAGATATTATCGTGCACAAAATTGGACACGAAATTGAAGCATCTTGTGGACTAAGACCAAGAGTTGTAATATATTTTGCCACATGCAATACGTACTCTGTGTTCCAGCATTGTCACAGGATTGACAGCAGTGGGGTGAATACTGATGAGCTAACCAAGAAATAACGTAAATGTATCTGTCAATGAAGACAACATTTAAACAATCTCAGTTAAAGGTTTCTGTGGATTGATTAGAGGTTGGTGCTCTCCTTTGCTACCAATAACAGAGTGTTTTTGTGAAACTCTTTTCCAAGTGGGAACCAGAGTTGGTCAGTTTTATCTCTAAAAAGACTTAAACAAATATCATGATAAGTGCTTCTCCTTTACCCACACCGGGAAGGTATATTTAGTGAAAGATAGCAAGCTTAAAGTTAATACCAAGTCAACCCAGGAGTAGACTAATAACCAATGAAACACAAGTTATTGTGCTACACTACCGATACTTTATCTCTGGCAAAGTATTGAAAAAAGTCTTGGTGTAAAGAAGTTGAGGGGAAAGACTTGAAAAGGCAGTATTTAAACCTCCAGTGCTAACACAGCAGCACTAAAGGGCCCAGTATGGTCTCAGAATGACGTAGTTTGGCCTAAAAAACGAAAGAAGCAGCTGATCAATCTGCTCAGTCTTGGTAAGTAAATAGATATCCAGCAGGATTTGGGGAAGCTCAGGGTCTGTCTCAATCTGTTAGAACTGACAGGTTTTTACTGGTAAGATGATGTTCTTGGTCACGGGGGGTTTAATTGCCCCCATTAAGTCTTAGGGCTGTACAGCATAGAGACAAACAGGGCAGACTGACCCTGTGGGCCTTAGAAGGATGCCTTACCTGTGACCCTGGTGCACTTCTCACTCTCTCTGCTGTCACTCAACGTAGTCTCACCTGACTGTGCATTGTGTCTTCTTCTAGTTAGAGCGCGATCACACTGGCAATGTTGTCCGTACTGTGCTTGAGCACGATTGTACTGTCAATGAAGCTGACTTATGTACTGTATAACCCTATGACATATATTTTCAAATATATCGTCCTCAGACATAACTAATGCTCATGGGCGTTTTTGGTCGGGGGGGGAGTGGGACTGATTACCCAGGGCCTCATTTGAGGCAGGGGTCCTTATTGGGTATTTAATTATATAGTTTTTGTTGAAATTAGTTTTTTCTCAAAGTCATGAAAGCTGGTCCACTAGCCCACGACCAGAACAGAATCTGCATTGTTCCGCCTGTAAACGAGGTTCGACAATTGGGCAGAGCCTCCTCTCCAGCACCCTCAAGTAAACTTTCCCCTGGGAGGCTGATAAGGGTGATAGTAGGAGCACACCCCAATCTCATCCGCCCTGGCGCCTTGCCACAGAGGATCTTTCTGACTGCCTCAGTGGTCTCTGCCAATGTTAGTGGAAAGGCTTCACCTGGAGCTTCAGACTCTGCCTGGACATGTTTTCTGGTTTCAGGAGTTCCTCAAAGTATTCCTTCCACCGCCCAACGATGTCCCCATCTGGGTCAGCAGCTCTCCACCCCTGCTGATAAGAGCCTGGGGCAAACCTTGCTTTCCCCTCCTAGCAGTCAGATGGCTGTTAAAAATGGTTTTGTTGTATCTTTTTGAGTTGAATTATTTAACAAGTAGATTCGGACACTACTAAAACACATGTCGGATACAGTTTTTTGTAACTGTTTATCTGCTTCTGGCATACTCTAATGTAGACTTTCTGTCTGCCCTCAGACAATCAAAAAGTATACAACAGGTATACTGACATTAAGCGCCCAATCCAAAATAACCAACATGCACTTGTTGCTGGACATCAGTGCAGGAATCAGTAGATAAAGAGTTTATGGATGAACTCTATGAGACCTCCATGGAAGCTCATATGATTTATGTTTGTCTTTTGTTTCCAGGAAAGCAGCACTATGAATCAGGTCCTTCGAGCAATAGAAAGACTAAGCGATTTGCTAGTGCCATAAATTTCTTTTATAGTTTTTGTTTTTTATGCATCAATGTATCTAGAATGAAACTAACACACAAATAATTAAAACATATAATCAATGTGGCTTTATGGCTCTAATCAAATCATGGTGTCATTTCCTCCCAAAGGATCGCTGTACCTGTATAACGACACCTTCAATGACAAAGCTATGAGAGATGCACTGCCACTGGGGACACATGAGACAGTAAGATATTGCTCTGAGATCAAAAGCCACATTAGCAGCTCTTTTTGGCTAAGTCAACATGCTATCAGGTTTACGTTAAGTTTGTTGGCATGTTGACATTTGCTAATAAACACTAAACAAAAAGTTACAGTAGAGGCTGGTAGGAATTTCATGTATGTATTAGACTTTTAACAGATATATTGGGCAATTCTAAAGTCTGCGCTGTTGGTGGTACTAATGGAAAAAATCTGTTAATTAGCAAATATATTGGGATTAAATATCTGGGGATCCATTTGTACCTTTATGTGTTATTATGTTGACTGCTAGTCTTACATATAGAGTCATCATTCATGCAGAATTCTATTGTGGAAAAAATGCTGCTGTTGATAAATGTGACAAACATAAAAAGAGTTTTAAGAGTAAATTGTCGGAGGACCATTCTTGCTGTCTGTTGTGGTTTATGACAACAAAGATTAATGAGAACACTTCAGAGTCAGTCGCCCATCTGGCTACAAATCTCAGCCTTCAAGAAAAAGCATTAGACAAACTCAACTATGAATGACTGATTCAATTTGTTGCGGTTCATTTAAATGTGTGAAAGGATATGTGAGGAATGTTTAATAAATGTTTATCTGGGAGGCCCCTGTAGAAAAAAAAAAAAACAGTATGTCAGGGATGCCGATAGCCTATGTTGCACGCCCCATGTACAGGGTCTGTGGTCCTTGTTGCAGCAGCCGTGGGTTCAAATCCGACCTTAAACCGTTGCTGGACGTCATCCCCCACTCTCTCCTCCAAACATTCCCTCTCTCTCTTCAACTGTCACGTATAATAAAGGCAAAGAGGCCCCAAAACATACTTAAAAAAAGCAGTATGTCTCATCTTTTTACTGATCCTGTACAATACATTCATGTGTAGTTTTATCAAATTAAATCTCCTGCATTCTTTTACACTAAGTGACTTAAGAACTAATTATTGTGAAACTGTGCCCTGGAAAATACAGAACAAGACTTTTTAGGTATTTATTGTTGTACAGTTTGTTAAATTGACCAGATTGAAGTGGCTATTGGCGTTAAAACTTACTAAAAAAGTAATTGTTCTTTCTGTTCTTTCTGTCTGGTTTGTGTTTGGAGGTCATCCATTTTAAATTTAGATTATATTTCCCTGTTTAAAACCCCTTACAGAATGTTTAAAGGTAGTCTTTGTATATGTTGAAGGTTATTATAGACAATAAATTCCTCACGATTCTAATAAAATACCTTTTCTTTGTAGAGAAATTACACATTCTTATTAGAGATATTTGCTCTTGTGCTGCATAAATAATAAAACTAAACTCTTTAAAGTCATGCTACTCTACCATTGTTATACACATTTATTCATTGATGAATTCAAAAGTATTGATAAAGGAAAAACACGAGATATTGCATTAAATAATTCACGGTTTAAGTCGTAAATTAGCATAATTCACAGTCTATGTTAAAACTAAACTAATTAAAGTAAAACATTTTCTTTAAAATCATGTCAGAGGTACAACATCAGCACAAAATCAGAATCACTTTTTATTGATGCATACATAATGAAAGAGATACAATCTCATTGTTCAAACTTTATTTAAAAACCAACAAAATAAGCAAGGCTAGGGACTCAAGCCAGAGAGAGAGGATGATCTTATGAGTAGCTGGTTCTGATGGTTAGGGTTAGGTTTGTCTTAAACTGGGGGACCTTTTCATTGCACTGTAATCTGCATCATGGCACCACACAACACCACAGCACACAACACCATAATATGGCTTGATATTCACTGCCTACTCATGCAGAAGTCAACCTGTTCCATGCCTAAGAAGTGTCGGACGGCAGAGATTAAGAATTAACAGTTTCTTGTGGTTTGGTAACTGTGGGCTGAAAAGACATTCAGAAAATATGCCTGACCTTGAAAGAAGACTGAATTTGTTTCCATGCCAGGCAAAACAAGTCCCAAGCGACAGCTTGTGCTGATGTTTGAGGGTAAGTAGAGACCATCAGTTTGATTAGTTTAGCCTTTAATTAGAGGAAGTGGGCATGTCAAGCCTAGAAATAACCATATTGAACACCCAGCAACAACAGCCATTAAATAAGCAGGTCACTGATATTCCTTGTTTTGGAAGGGATTTTTAACTTTTCTGTTATTTTCTGCCAATCTGTTCGCTAAATTGGCTTCCCCGGCTATTATTTTGATTACCAGTCAGAATTTGTTGATGAGGCCTTTCACTTTCTGCAACCAACTCTGCTTTAATGAAAATGGCATGCCTTTATTTTTCTTGCTGAGCAACATATTCAGTCACCAGATTCTTTGATTTGGAACTCACACCCTGTCTCCTGAAATTACCTCACAGCAACGACAGCCTCGGCAGGCACTGGCTGAGAGCAGGAGTGTGTGATGAGTTTGTCCGCCTTTGAGAGCTCTTAAGGTGGATAGAAGTGTGTGGAAGGCGGCCTCTGGCTATACCAGGAGTGTGTGATGAGTTTGTACTGTTGATCTCTGTAAGCGGAGCGGAGTGAGGAGGACGTTGAGAACGTGCATAAAATGTCACTTCCTGGAGCTTTCGTGGAAAATACGACCCGGGGAAACTTTTTATACAGGCAACACAGATAGACAGTGAACATCTACTTTTTCACATCAGTTAACCGTTCGCTTATTAATGGGCGATAAAAACCCTCACAGATGTATTTATGGTCTAGATCAATTACTTTTACCATCCACACTGACCATTGACTTAAAAAGACTGGAAATGTCCATTCACCTATTTCTCAAAAATAAATATATTAATTGTGTTTCAGTTCTGCATGAAGTTTGGCAACAGCAGACATCTTAGACACAGACACATCTTAGGAGAAAATGACCTTAACCCTAACCCTAACCCTATTTCTGAATGATTAGATAAGTTTCATCATTATGTTGCCAGTTAATAACTCAGGTGGCATTGTGTATTGATTTGAACAAATTCATTTTGTCAAAAGGAGAGAGGATCATTTGTCCTGTGAGTCTTGAGGAAGTGATGGAAAAGGTTAATCCTACAGCTGTAAAGCAAATCAGAAAGATGTGGCTCAACAAAGCCAGAACTGAGTTCTGTGAATTTCCATTTAAAAACATTTAGTCAAAGTATTTGAAAAATAAAACAGAAAAACTAGGATTATAATATATTTTTAGGTGATGGAATGGTAAATTTAACTAAAATAAATTATATTTTTGCCATACTGAATCCTTTTCTGCTTATTACATCATAGATGCACAGCCATCCACTCAGGGTTGTTTGCAAGTCTGCCTGTAGCTATCAGAAAGAATCACAGCACTAATTAATCCCTGTTAATCTCCTAAATGTGTTACATGTTTTTAAAGGAGAAGAGGGTTTTATGCAGTGACTGCGTCTTGCTCTATGACTGGGACAAACCAACTCTTGAGTAAAAATGAACATCAGCAGAAAACACTTTGGGAACTTAAAAGACTGTAAAAGTAGTATGTCCCCTGAGGGGAAGTGTGAAAAACTTTGACTATAACCTATAGCCTGATTAGAATCAATCAAATGAGTGTGTGTAGTATAAAAGTCCCTTTTTAGTGAAAGATGCATTAGTGAATATGTGATACAATAGAACAGGTTATGTAGTGGTCAGGTAACTAGCTCAAATTACCTTCTGGGAGGAGGTAAGGGGGGGAGTAAAAAGAAAACAGGAAGACCAAAAAGAAACATTTGACATTAACAGGGAGGTGAAAAGGAAGCAGGAAGACCAAAAGAAAAGTTTGACATTAAAAAAGTGGCACAAAGAAACAGACTCAGACAGGATAACCTACTCTGGGAGGTTAACTGGTAAATGCAGGTGACACAAGTTAAGGCGACCATACAGTTGGAAAACAAGCTCAGACTGGAGATTCAAGTATATCTATACCTGATCGTCTCCTCCCTGCAGTTGATAGGGATCTGGTTTGAGCCTTTTCAGTACCAACAATCTGCTCAGATAATCAAGTAATATGATGGATTACATCTTCAACCATTAAAACTCCCACAAAGCTTGCAGATTCATCAAGGCAAAAGTAATATCCAAATTATTTGATATGAAGGCGTTGCATCTTCAGTCCATTTCAATTATTAACATCCGGTCTTATCTATTATATATAGCTATATGTCTAAATGGATTGTAACCATTGGGGGCTCCAAACTTATTAGATATGGTTGTGAAATAAAAAAAAATCCTCATATTTTGCTGAATTTATTAATTTTCATCACTTAGATAAAATAACTAATTTCTCCTGTTACAGAAACTTGTTTTTCTCATAGTAACGATAATAATGCAAAAAGAAATCAAATCTTTTGAAACATGATGATGAATAATTAGAGATCAGAATCATTTCCTTTCTTAATGTTGAATAATTAAACTATTTAAAAAC